CACAGTTTGTAGCCTAGGCCCTAAGCAAAGCCCTACTACGCTAAACCCTAAACCCTCGCTAAACCCTAAACCCTAAACCCTAACTGAGCTGAAGCAGCTCCACCCAACTGCATGCATTAAAAGATTCTGTAGAGCCGTAAAAACAGAAAGTGGGGCCCCCAGGGGCCCCCCTTTTGGGGCCCCCACGGCTCCCCTGGGGGCCCCCAGGGGCCCCATTTCTTGGGGCCCCAGAAGCCCCTTGGGGGCCCCCAGAGGCCCCTTGGGGGCCCCCAGAGGCCCCTTGGGGGCCCCCAGAGGCTCCTTGGGGGCCCCCAGAGGCCCCTTAACACCCTATGGGTTCACTTGGAGGCTCCTTGGGGCCCCTTGGGGCCCCATGGGGGCCCCCAGGGACGCTTGAGTACCCCAGGAACCCTTGGGGGCCCCCAAGGGCGCCCAGGAACCCCTGGGGGCCCCAGGGGCCCCCTAGTGACCGGCTGGGGGCCCCCTGCTTGGTAGGGGGGCCCCCAATGAGGGTAAGAATTGGGTACCCTTTTTCTTTGAATAAGTTTAAAAGAGAAATTAAAAGACATAAACCAAATTGTAACAAAGAGTCCAAGATAGGACGAAGGTCTGCAGACGCAACAGCAGCAACAACAGCAGCAGCAGCAGCAATTGCAGCAGCAGCAGCAGCAGCAATTGCAGCACCAGCAGCAGCAATTGCAGCAGCAGCAGCAGCAAAACAGCAACAGCAGCAGAAGCAGAAACGCTGGCAGCAAGACAGCAGCCGCAGCAGCAAGCTATGTCAATACGAGGAAAAACAGAGTTCCACAGAAACAAATTCCGGCAGCAGCAGCAGCAGCAACAACAGCAGCAGCAGCAGCAACAGCAGCAGCAGCAGGGGATTGAGGAGGGAAAACAACATAAAGGAGAAGAGAGTCAAAAAAAAACAAAAAAAGACAAAAGAAAAAAATCAAAAAATGATTAAATGCGAAATAAAGAAACAAAAAAGAAACGAAAAATAAAACAAAAAAAAGTAAAAGAAGGAAATAAAAAAAGAGATTAAGAGGAAATTCAAAAGAGATAAAAAAGGAAAAAAAAAAATTGAAAAGAACATTAAAAGAGGACAAAGAGGAGATTAAAAAGGAAATAAAAAGAAGACAGAATAAAATAAAAAACAGAAATAAAGGAGACAAAAAGGATATTAAAACGAGATTAAAAACAGCAAATAAAAGAGATAAAAAGCAAGTTAAAAAGAAATTGGAAAAAGACAAAAAGGAGATTTAGAAAATATTAGAAAGATATTAAAACGAAACAAAGAGGAGATTAAAAGGAGACTAAAAGGACTTTAAAAAGAGACAAAAAAGTTGAAAGTTGCCGAGAATAACAAACAAAAGAGCAGGGCTTATTTGACCAAAAGCTGACGAAAAGGAATTTAAAAAGGACCAAAATAAAACATTAAAAGAAACTAAAAAATTAAAACTAAATAAGACAAAAAAGAGATTACAAAATGTCTAAAATGAGGCCAAAAAGAGGTTTACGTGAGGCAAAAAAAGGGCTCTAAATAGCTCAAAGTCGTCAAAAAGTGTGAAGATAAAACGGGGGCTTGTTCCACCAAAAGCTGATGAAAAGAAGATAAAAAGAGATAAATTTGAGATAAAAGGCAGCTACGAAAATGCCAAATAAACAAGGAAAAAAGGAGCTTAAAAAGGGCTTGGAAATAAAAAAGAAAAAAAGCCAAAAAGAGCTGAAAACGATATAAAAAGATGCGAAAGAAGCAGGTATTGTGTGACGAGAAGCTGATGAAACAAAGACAAAAAGAGAATAAAATGAGACGAAAAGCAGCTTCAAAAGTACAAAATAAAAAGGAAAAGAAAGATATTACAAGGCGCTTAAAAAGGAGCCAAAAAGAGCTGAAAATGACCAAAAAAGATGAAAAAACGCGACAGCTTGTGTGACGCGAAGCTGATGAAAAGGAGATAAAAAGAGATTAAAATGAGAAAAAAAACAGCTCCAAAAATAGAAAATAAATCAACAAAAAAAGCGATTAAACAGCGCTTGAAAAACGATTAAAAAAGGAGAAAAACCAGTAAGAAAAAAGCTGGAAATGAACAAAAAAGATCCGAAAAGGGGAGTTTTCGTGTGACCAGAGGCTGACAAAAACGCGATAAAAAACAGTAAAAATAAGCCAAAAGCAGCTCCAAAAACAGGAAATTGAAACCAGAAGAAAACAAATTGAAAAGGCCTTCAAAAAAAAAGAAAAAAGGAGAAAAAAAGAGCCAAAAAGAGCCGAAAATGATCAAAAAAGGAAAACTTTTGGCCCACCAAAAGAGCTGAAAAGAAGCCGCTGCAAAAGGGCTCCGAAGGCCGCGCGAAAAACGGCGAAAAGCCGCAGCCAAAACTGGGCAGCAAAAAGGCCGGGGCGGCGGCGGTGAGGCCGAGGTACAAGAGGAAGCCTAGGCGCAAACCCTAAACCCTAAACCCTAAACCCTAAACCCTAAACCCTAAACCCTAAACCCTAAAC